ATGGATGACTTGCATCTGTGGGTAACTTACACTCCATTCTGAATTGACCAATAACAAGGATTGTACAAGTTGAGGTTAAACTGCAAAATAGTTACTGGATAGGCTTGAACAACCTATGAGGTCCTTTATATGAAATGGAAATAAACTTAGACATACAGCAGCAAAAATCTCTTGGGAGGAAGTATGCAAACCCAATTAAAAGAGATGGTAGGCTTGGAATCAAGGGCCTCAAAGCATGGAATGATGCATTAATGCTAAAACTCTTATGGCAGCTGGTCAATAATAAGGAGAATCCATGATGTCAAGGGATTTATGTGTTTTACATCAATGAAAAGAACCTATGGGAGCTTAAAACACCACAACCATGTTCTTGGAATTGGACGATCCTATTGAAACTTAGAGAAGTGTTAAGAGCTATGATGGTGCATATAGTGGAGAATGGGGAAAATACTAGATTTTGGCATATTAATTGGCACCCTTATGGGCCTTCAAGCAAGAGTTCTCCAAGAAGCAGGAATGTCAAGAGTGGCAATAGTTAATAGATTAATAGCGAAAAACCCAATGGCACTACATTACAGATTCTTCGCCAGAAATGCATGATAGTTTTAATCCAATGCCATCCTACCCACGTAATCAGCCTAGGAATGATGTTGTGAGGGGTGGTCTCTGACTGTAAATGGTAAATATTCAACTAAATCAGCATGGGATCACAGGGATGCAATTGTAGTAGTATCTTGGCATAAGCTAGTATGGTTTGGGAAGGCTTACCTAAGATGCATTCATAATTTGGTTAGCCATCAAGATGACACTAAGCACCAAGGATAGGATTCAAGCATACACAAATCATGATACTGAAACTCATGAACACCTATTTTTTTAAGTCTGATTTCTCATTCAAAGTATAAAGATCCATCATAGCTTAAAGATATCTACCTTGCCAACAGAGACAGTGGTCTAAACTTACTGATTGGGCAGCTCAACCTTATTAATGTTGTTCAAATTTTTTCATATATTTATATCCATCAACCAGTTATGTTGAGCTTGTTTCATGGAGCTGTAGTTTGTGGATAGGTGTTTTATTTTTTTAAGGAAGGGACAAGCATTAAGTCTTTGGTTGAAGTTCATTTCCACATGAACTCTGACTTTATCAAGGAAAATGGAGATAATTGTTTCTTTCTTCCCGAAAAACTACCATTTTGAGGTGTACTATAGTTAGTGGAAGAAAATTTAGTGCTAGATTCGCTCCTTACTTTTAATTAGGGTGTTCATGGGCCGGGTTAAGCCCACAAATTTCTTTTCAGGCCGGGCCTAGTAAGGGTAGGTCCAATCTCTTATCCAGACGAATTATTGGTCTAGTCGGGCTTCGGGTATGGGCCCAACCCGCCAGTCATTAGGTGGCCTTGTTTGTATATATATAAGAGAAATTTGGAGGCCGGTCTCCCTCTATGGACTTATTTTGATATAAGTTCTTATTTGGTTTTAAGTTCGTTTTTTGTCAATTTTACTATTGTAACCCTTAATTGTAGGAATACTATAAACGACATTTATGAACATAATAACCAATCATATACATCTCATTTATAATTACTTTCAAATCCGGTTACAATCTTCCAAGTCACAATGTTTCTTTATCCAAAAAACAAGAAACCATCATTTTACTAAAAACCGTTCATATTCAAATTTCAAACTCATTACATTCCATAAAATATAATTTCAATTTACTATTTCAATTTATTTTGGACTCCATCGACAAAATATTAATATTAAATATTAATCTTTAAAAAATAACAATAGTAATATATTTAACAAAGACAGTAACATGGTCATTAAAAAAATAATAACATGCTCACAAAAAAATAGTAATATGGTAAAAAAATAATAACAATTAAGAATTTAATTATGTCAAAGTATGCATTAATCTTGTAACTAAGATTCAAGAGAACTCATATATTAGTACTAAATTAAAGTATTATAAATTTTGATTTTGCTAATTTTTTTGTTGCGCAAGACAATCGAGTATTTTTGGGTTGTGTTACTATTGTAAAAGTTCATTTTATTGTACGTGAAACGAAAAATGAAGTTCAAAATTTCAATAACTTGATGTTTACAATTGGTGTTGAGTGTCATAATTTAACTGTCGATTGTGTGTTACTATTCGTCATTTTGTAAATTTTTAATTTGTGGATCGTATTTTCACTAAAATCATTCAAAAGTTGATGTTACTGTAAAAAAACTATTGTCTTGTATTTTGTAAAATTAGATGTGTTATTGAGCACAAAACTTTGATGTTAGTGTGAATATTAAAATGTCTGTTACATAATATATGTCTCAAGGTTTGCAATTGTATGCTAAAATTTACTGTAGTAACATTAGTATCAGTATAATATTACGACTATACTTATAACACGACCATAATTGTAACTTCAATAATATAATAACATAAATGTTATTATATATTAACCACGACCATAATTGTAACTTCAATCATTTAGTAACATGAATGTTACTATATATTAACATTCGTGTTATTGAACTTTGTTGACATTGATCAACTTCTCTATATTATGCATTACTGTTGTTAAAGAAATTTTGTGATCTGATTTTGACTTAAAAAACTAACAATTTATTTGTACATTAAGTTTCTCATATATAACTATCAGAATATATGATTTTCATATAAAACTTTCATTCATTATCATAATATTTAATAAAAGATTTTCATATATAACTCATTCAAAGATTTTCATATATACCTCAATAATCTAACATAGGAAAAACTAACATTGTTAGGGGCAATTTTAAGATTTAAAAAATAAGTGGATTTAAATACCTACATATAAGTTTAAATATAGATTTACCTCCAAATAAGTTTTCTTTCAGGACTCAAGTCGTTATAAGTCTATCTAGGGGGACTCACCCTGAATTTTCACTATATATAATTTCATTTAAAAAGTTTTCAACATAATATTCCTATAAATTATATTTTTGAATTAAAAGTGGAGTTAAAATGGACAAAAAAGTATTAATAGAATGAACAATTCCCAATTAGGAGTATAGTTTTATTGCCAGAAATCGTCAAGGTCAAATACTGGGATCGAAAACTGAATTCAAAAGGACGTGGATCCACTTAAAGCAGAGGCTTTAGCAGCAAGAGAAGCAACACTCTGGGCGAATTCTAAAGACTGGAGCTACGTAACAACAAGAGAGAATTACATTTAACTTATCTGAAATTTGTCACTTAATTATTCAGATCTTTGATATTTAAAATATTACATACAGACCCTTTGAGGTTTATACATACGTAACACTTAGACCTCTGATGTAAATATATCTGTTAATAAATTACACTTAAACCCCTCTGAAGATTATAGGTATATATTACNTATGTCCATTACAGTTTGACCTCTTGTTTATTTTATTTTTAATTTTATTCTAATAGATATTATAATTATGTACTAACTATAATTTTTTTAGATTTTTATTTTTGATTTTATTTCAATAAATGACATAATAGAACATGAATTTTAGTTATAAAATTCATTTTCTTTTATGAATGACTTAGATCCCTTATTTGATTTTTTAGTTTTATTCTAATAGATAATATAATTGTATATTAATTACGATTTTTAAGAAAAAATTAAAATTAAAATTTTAATTTTATTTCAATATATAATACAATAGAATATTAATTTTGATTATAAAATTTAAAATATTTGATATTCTATTTTTGATCTAAGTATAATTTTTTAAACTAAACTTTAGAGAGGTTTAAGTGTAATTTATTAGCAGATATATTTACATTAGAAGTTTAAGTGTTACGTGGATACAAACCTTAGGAGGTCTATGTGTAATATTTTAAATATCAAGATGTCTTAGTGATTAAGTAACAAATTCCAAAACATTTAGACGTAATTCTCCCCAACGCCAACAACAATTGAGTGTGATTCACAACTAGTGGGTGCATGCAGTACTGATAAAAACACATCAAGCTCAAGTGGAGCATTTTGTCTATCATCCAGGATTTACAGCAGCTACTGGAGCAACATTTGGACAGGAGCAGCATAATTCATACATACAGAGAACCCAATAAAGTTGAGCATGAATTCGCCATGTGGGGTCTGAGTACAAAGTTCAATGGAGAGTTAGCAACTAATGACCTACCATGCTTAGTAAGAAGCAAAGTTTTGGATGGAAGTGCAGAGGATAATAGCCATAGTTATAGTACTAGTAGTCATAGCAATAGTCACAGTACTAATTATAGTTTGTAACTACTTAATTTCTCCATATTTGTAACTCATTTTCTCATAGAGCGAAAGAAAAAAAAAAAAATCTAAACTAGGTTCATATATTATCACTAAATTTTTAGCATTTCAATGGTTTAACATTTTATTTAAATAATTGGGTAGAAAGACAAACGAAGTTATGATGTATCATTTGAATCTACAAAGATAAACCGTGTTCTAAGACACGGTTCAATATGAATGATTTTTGAGAAGGATGTCAGTGATCATTAGATGAGTTCATTTAAAAACGTTGNGTTCGAAGACACGGTTCAATATGAATGATTTTTGAGAAGGATGTCAGTGATCATTGGATGAGTCTATTTAAAAACGTTAGATGAATTTATTGAAGTCTATCTCATTTTATGTTATAAATTTGACGGTATTAAATATTCATCATTTTTCTTGAAAGATATAAGTAAGAGTGGACAATAAAACTTGATCTATACTATTAACACCATAAGAACCTTTTTTACATGCAACCACATAGATTTGTTTAAAAAGAAAAAAACTAAAAAGAAAAAAAAAATATATTCACAAGTCACAACCCATTTTCTTTTTTTAAACACGACTCCCCCATGTCTATGTTGACCACAAGCATACTATCCACCGTTCATGACATACAAAGTCATCAAATCCAACGGTAANATGTCTATGTTGACCACAATCATAATATCCACCGTTCATGACATACAAAGTCATCAAATCCAACTGTACAGATCATATCTTCTCCAACTTCTCTGCTTTGACCACAGGATTAGCCTTTTCTATGGCCTCTCTCCCTATGGCCTTGAAATCAAACGTACACCCATGAAGCTCTGGGTGCCTATGGGTCCCACAAAACGTGGTCCCACACCTGCACCTAAACCCTGTCAACCCGACCCTTTTCCTGCACGCCGAGCACCGGTTCAACTGCGCCGCCACCGGTTGCACAACCACCACCTCCTCCGCCGCCGAAACCAGCCCATCACCGGCAGCTTTCTGCAACGACACCGGCGATGAATACGGTGGCGCAACCGATGATACAGCGGAGGAGGCTGATACAGAGAGAGAATTCTCTACTGCGGTCTTTACAGACTTTTTCTGATCTTCTTTCAGGCAGAAGTCTCCGTAGCATTTGGAACAAAGATTTTGAGTTGCAGAGCTCCCAAAAAAACCGCAGTTATTTGCACATAAACGGTGACCTTCGGGANAATACGGTGGCGCAACCGATGATACAGCGGAGGAGGCTGATACAGAGAGAGAATTCTCTACTGCGGTCTTTACAGACTTTTTCTGATCTTCTTTCAGGCAGAAGTCTCCGTAGCATTTGGAACAAAGATTTTGGGTTGCAGAGCTCCCAAAAAAACCGCAGTTATTTGCACATAAACGGTGACCTTCGGGAGCTTGAAATCCATGTTCTTCTGCCATATTATTACCCTTTTCTTTGTGATTACAGATTAAATCTGCAAAAATACTTATATTTCCACGACTTTGAATGGAATCTAACAAAACCCAAATAGATATGGAAGAGAGAGAATTGGAGGGACAAAGATTGAACCTTTATGATAATAGGTTTGCGGATACAGAAGAGAGAGAGAGAGAGAGAGAGAGTAAAGATTANGAGAGAGAATTGGAGGGACAAAGATTGAACCTTTATGATAATAGGTTTGCAGATACAGAAGAGAGAGAGAGAGAGAGAGAGAGAGAGAGAGAGTAAAGATTGAACCTCTATGGTAATGGGTTTGCAGATTTTTGATGGGATAAGAGGAATTTGTACAAAAGATTGAAGAATGGGGGAGAAATTTATTAGATTATAAATGGGTGGATGAAAGGAAGGATCAAGGTAAGCAGACAAAGCCCAAATGAATTGAATATTGAAAATGGTGACAATGATATAGAAATATCGAGGGACAAGGCCGACAGGCTGTAGGAGCCAAAAAGAAGGATGACGCTTTTTCTTTTTTTTTTTTTTATTTTTTTTTCCTGAATCATGCCAATGATCAAGGTAATTACACTTTTTCAGTTTAAACTAGCTAATTATTATCTATTCTCTAGATATATTTTCAATAAGATCTTTTTTATTATAAAAAACATTATTAACACTCCACGTTGTTAAACCTAGGTCTCTAACAATTTTTTTTTAATCTAAAATACTAAAATTATTCTTATATAAACTCCAAACAATCTTTCTATATAAAATTTAGTTAAAATTCAAGTCAATTAAAATTTATTTTTTTACATATTAAAATTTGAGTTAATTAAAATTCGATTCTAACTGATTAAATTTTATTTTTTTTACTTATTAAAATTCTATTTAAGTTGATTAAAATTTGATTCGATTAATATTTATATTTTTTTGTATATATCAAAATATGAGTCGGTTAAAATTTAATTTGATTTGAGCCGATTAAAAATAAATTTTAATCGACTCCAATAGAATTTTAATCGGCTCAAATTCTAATACGTAAAAAATAAATTTTAATAAGTTTGAAATTAATTTTAATTGACCCAAATTTTAATGCGTAAAATAAGTTTAGAAAACAGTGGAAGTCTTATTAAAGTTATATTTATCTAGAGAAGATATAGATGGAGNAAAATAAATTTTAATCGACTCCAATAGAATTTTAATCGGCTCAAATTCTAATACGTAAAAAATAAATTTTAATAAGCTTGAAATTAATTTTAATTGACCCAAATTTTAATGCGTAAAATAAGTTTAGAAAACAGTGGAGGTCTTATTAAAGTTATATTTATCTAGAGAAGATATAGATGGGGTTTTTTTTTCTAAAATATATCATAGATAATTTAATAAAATTATATTTTAGTTAACATCATTAATTTAATAAGGGATATCAGTGATATTTTAAATAATAGATAGGATCTCATTAAAAAAATATCTAAAATATCAAAAGTGTTAGTGATATTTTAGATAACGGAGATGATCTCATCCTAATAAGAAAAAAATNATTTTAGTTAACATCATTAATTTAATAAGGGATATCAGTGATATTTTAAATAATAGATAGGATCTCATTAAAAAAATACCTACCAACAAAAAGTGTTAGTGATATTTTAGATAATGGAGATGATCTCATCCTAATAAGAAAAAAAAAAGTGCCAATGACCATTTGCCTTTAAACTATTACATTCATCTCCATTTGCCTTTTTAACTATCACAATTACTTACATTTTGTTACATTGTTCAAAACTTAAATAGACGTTATCTTTTAGATGAAAAATGTCAACATGTCAAAAGGAAATGAAACAAAATTACATAATTTCACGAATAGAACAAAATAATTTTACGTTAAGTTTCGAATAGATGTTAATCATTAGGGCAATGTGATACTAATAATCATAGTTTAAGATAAGACGTAAGAAACATGATAATCAATTTAAGAGAGAAAGCGTAATTAATCATTGAGTCAAAGAATACAGCAAATGAAAGGAGAGCATGGGNATCACAATTACTTACATTTTGTTACATTGTTCAAAACTTAAATAGACGTTATCTTTTGGATGAAAAATGTCAACATGTCAAAAAAGGAAATAAAACAAAATTACATAATTTCTGGAATAGAACAAAATAATTTTACGTTAAGTTTCGAATAGACGTTAATCATTAGGGCAATGTGATACTAATAATCATAGTTTAAGATAAGACGTAAGAAACATGATAATAAATTTAAGAGAGAAAGCGTAATTAATCATTGAGTCAAAGAATACAGCAAATGAAAGGAGAGCATGGACATAGATTTTTGGTTTTGGGGATAATTTTGGGTGTGAATGCTGATGAGGAGTTTGTGGAAGTGGTCCAATTGTGACTCTTGAGGGTTAGGTGGGTGAATTGGTTGGTTAGGGGGATGATTATTGTTTTGTTTGAGATGCTTGTTTGCTTAGCTGTTTTCAGCTTGGGTCAATTTTTTGATACTAGTGGAAGACAAAACAAACTTCTCTTATAAATTGATATTTTTTTATATGCAAAATGACGTCGTTTTGTGTGTAAAATTAAAGATCAAAATTATATATTGGTATATTATTTCGGTATCTTAGGAAACAAAAATANTCTCTTATAAATTGATATTTTTTTATATGCAAAATGACGTCGTTTTGTGTGTAAAATCAAAGATCAAAATTATATATTGGTATATTATTTCGGTATCTTAGGAAACAAAAATGTTTCGACGTATTTCGTAAACATAGTAATAAAAATTAAAAAAATTAAGAATTATTTTTTTAAAATATTGGTCAATATATATATATATATATATATATATATATATAAAAGTATCCTAAAATATTTTGAAATAATTATGTATATGTATTGAAATATTACAAAATATCTCAAAACATTATAAAATACCTCAAAATATTAGAATTTCGATTCTATCACTAATTCGTTTTTCGGTCTACTTGAAAATGGAAACGTTTTGAACGTTTTAACTGTTTTAAAACAAAATTTTAATCCTTGTGTAAAATAATATTGTTTTGAAAAATCACTCCTCTTGTTTTATATATAAAACGATTTTTATTTTATGTGTGAAACAACGTCGCTTTAGAGAATAGGAGTTTTACAAACAGCAAAAGAGCTTTACAGTCTTTAGTCATCCTTTAATAAAATAAAATAAAATTAAGAGCCACTATCTCCAAATTCAAATTATAAATTTCTGAATAGATACTTAATCGAGATGTAGCATTTGTGGCTGATCTATCTAATATTATAATTAGAAAATTGAGTTTTCGACTTATAAAAGCGAAATAATTGTCAAAATTGATCCAATTTTTATTTAATTTGATCTAATAGTATAAAATTTAACCAAATTTTTTTTTTTCACTCAAAAACATCATTTTCTCTTCACAATCTCCAACATCAAATAATTCGACCAACACATTTTTAAATACTAGAAAACCCGATTAATTCACAACTACCTTTCTCTTCTCTTATCCCCACTTCTCTCTTATTTTATCTATTTTTACTTTAATTTTAAATTAATTAATTAAATAAAAAATAAATTATTATTTAAAATATCAATGTTGCACCATTAATGCTAAAATTTTGATATCGTAAAATGTCGTCAAACACAGAATTATTGTTAATAGGAAAAACGTGGGCCGATTTTGTTAAAAAGTCCATGAGCACGATTATTATTCAGGACTACGCTAGGTTAATTCAAGCCCAGCGTGGGCCTTATTTTTAAGATTGGGCTTCTCGGCTCGTGTGCTTACTGGGCCGTGCTTACTTTTACAGGCTTTCTCACAATCTTAATCCTCATCCTCTTCCAAAGCAATTTTAAATTAGGACATTTTTAGTTGATTTCATTTAACTAATCATTCTTTTCTAACCCAAAAAATAAAAAATAAATAAAAAGTCTTTCTATTTTCTAAGAGGGAGAATTCTACTATATCCAAAAAAATAATTTAAATATTGTACTACGATGTAGACGTTATACACAATTTTTTATGGTCATTTATAAAATTTTTGAAATTTTGCTATTGATCCTAAAGATGTTAGGATCGATTCAAGACACTTCAAACAGTGGTAATCGGAACTTGAAGCATAAAAATTGTAACATGATCCTAAAAAATTATATTATTTTTGGATTGTAAACTAAACTCCAAAAATACCTTAGCCCAAAATATTGTATACTTTGGTACCATACCTTTT